AATATGACTGCAAGTCATTGATTAAGTCAATCTAAAGTTGAATAATCTTATTGACTGACTGATGATTAATTGTTCGGCTACTATTTTTTTAAGAAACATTTTATTTTTCCATGAAGAGAATATTTCTGTAACATGAAACGCAACATGTTTTTTTTTTTACAAAACTGAAGAAAAACAAAGAATCACATCATTACATTTGAACAATTTATTTTGCAACCTATATTACATACTGACTGAATAAACAAAAGAGTTTCCTTTTTTAAAACATGATTAAAAATGAAACGTATTACCTAACAGTTTAAAATAATCCCAGGATGCGCTCGGTTTGGAGTGTTTCACTGGCGTGGCTCCAGCATGATCAATTATCTTAATTTCTCTGGCTTCAATTAAGATCTACAGCGCCCTCTTCTGGATGGTGGTCACAATTTATCACTGAAAGAATATCAGTCTTAAGCAGACACTATTAGTTAGTCAGATTGATTTAATTTCAATCTGATTAACAATTACTCAATAAGTAAGTTGATTGGTTGTTTAAATCCCTAATCAACACAAAGTGGTGAATAATTATAAAGAAAAAAGAGACTTATTTTTTCTTAACATACATTTTCTTTCAGCCTTTTTCACCTGAACACCCCTAACTAAAAGCCAGTGTAACCAAGTACCTTCTGTTTTTTTTAGAAGACATTGTTGAGCAAACATCATGAATGTCGAGGAACCTTGAGAAGTTTAAAGCAGAGTTAGATGAGAAAAGGTTATCACAAGCTTTAAACACGTCACAGAACTCTGTTCAGTCAATCATCAGATAAACTCGAAGAGTATGGAAAAGCATATTTGCGTTCACTACGACACACACGCAGACCACCTGGTTTCTGAGCATAAATCAGCCTTGAGGTGACTCTGGAGGAGCTGCAGACATCCACAACTCAGACAGAGGATGTGCTCACTGGGTTTCCATTTAAGCTCAAACTTAACACTATTCTTGACATTTTAAATTGAAAACACTTCCTGGATGGGAAGCGAAATGTCTTCAAGCTTTTTTAATAAAAAAAAAAATTCTAATTGATTCTTCAAGTTAAACCTTTATAGTGAAAAGATCCTTTATGGTTTACACATCCTAAACACATCAACCCTGTGGTGAAACATGGTGGTAAAACCATCATGCTGTGGGCTAGATCTAAATCACAAGCTTCAGACTGATGCAGAGATTCTATCTCCATCAGAAGAACCCAGAACAGCCTGAGCTGTTAAAACGAGTTAGACCAATATTTATTCATATGTTAGAATGAAAACCTTGGCAGGAGCGTTTCCATCCAGTCTGACTGAAAGGGAAAATGCAGTCCAGCTTTGGAAAAATCCTTAGGCTGTTATGGCAACAAGAGCTTCGTCTGGAAATTATTGACTCAGGGTCCAAATTCAAGTGCGTGCCTCAGTTCTGGGATTCTTTTAAAAAAGGGTTTTTAAAACCAAGCATCCTTTCTTTTCCTCTTCACAACTGAGAGCTGCTCTTGAATTATCTCATGAAAATCCCAACAAAATAAGCTGAAATTGTAGTTTCATGATAAGAAAATGTGTAAAAGTGAATGTGTTGATAGTGCTTAAAGCCTCCGTAGAAAATAAACCCTGCACAACTACATCAGCCTCAGAATAAAAATAGGCAATCAGAGTTTAGATTGCAGCGTCCCGGTCAATAAAGCTTTCTCTGCCTCCTCCTCCACCTCCTCCTGCTACTCAATATTTAATTCATCCTGATTTCCTTCCTTCTGCCCAACACGTTGTTTGCTGTATGAAAGGAAGCCCTAAGATGGGCTATGCCTGTCAGACACACCCTTTGGTGGCCTCATACAGGCCGCTGCACGCTCCTCTGATCACAAGCCTTAACAAGTGCACACATCCAAGGAAGTCTGAAGCCCAACCAATACATTTCTACTGCTTTTATCTCTTCAAACTGATTCCTTGGTCTCTTTTCTATCAATAGCTGCATTAAACAGTTGATCGGCGGATTGGTTTCCAGCTCATTGCTTGTCTGGATTGTGCAACATCCTCTATCTGCTGAGCTCAGACCCCAGAAGCTGTCCGTTCCTGAGATTGGCTGCCTGTTTACTGCCGGTGCGGCCATCACTGCTGCAGAGCAGCGAGCTGTCAGGCTTTAGGATAAGAGGGAACGCTTCTTCATATTGCGGCATCTTGGTTACTCCAGCTAATTAAAAACGCCGTCTGCAGACGGAGTGTCTCCGGGCGTCAGCCAGCCCAGATGCAGCTCAGGGCAACCACCGGTTCACGCCGTTACTGTGAGATCTTTAAGAATGGAGCAGAATTTCATTCTTTATGTACTGAACACACTGGATATATTTAATTCATTTTCCAGATCTGTGAGCTAAAACTTATATTTATGGTGTAGATTATAACAGAAAGGCGTTTATTGACTCAGTGACGGCACTTAGCCTTTGTTACATCTCTCCTGCTGTTGAGTTCACATAAGGATGGATGTTCTCTTCCCAATTTGACTGTTATAAAGTAGCGATGCACTGATAAATGTTTTGTGGCTAATCCATTAACTTTAAAAAGCTTCACCTGTTTTCTGTTGTTTTTTTAACCAACATTGTCATGTATTGTAGGGTCACAATACACCTCAGTGTTCCCATTATTTTATATTGAAAAGCATTAAACAATAACCCTAAAGCAATACAAACTACTTTAACAGCACAGTGTTGTTTTGAGAATATATATGAGGATTTCCAAATTTTACCGGTGAAGCTGTCTTTCTGAATTGGCAGATTATTGCTCTTATTTTGATTAGAGTTTCAAAAGATCAATAATAATAATCAATAATCTGCCTAGATATAAAAATTGGTAGACTTTGTTAGATGGACAATTTTTCAAAGTGGGATTTTCAGAGTTTTGCAAAGGTAGATGAGATTGGTTAAATCCACCGATCACCAGAAAGGAAGGAAAGTGGACGAATCGATTGGTGATTTCTTGTGTTTAAGATCTGTGTATGCACCCTGATGCTCTATCTCTCTGGTTCTTTTCCCTGTAAAGAGATCACTCAGGAAAAACTCTTTAAATAACACTTCATAACTTATGTATTAAACAACCAGGAGACATGACAACAGATTCTGATAGAAATTGTAATCTTACTTAGATCAGAGAAATTGCTTACCTCCGGGCTCACCTCTCAGGCAGTGGCCCCGATTAACAGTTAAAAAGTCATTTTATTCATCTCCAGTCTGCCACATCATCACATCATTACATCATACAAGTTTGCAGATGAGGAGACATCCATGGCTCCAGCCTTATCAAAATATTACACTTTGTTCTTAGCTGAAGGACACCGCTCTCATTCCATTCCTAAATATTTTCCACGTACAGAATGAAGACTATAAATGTATATACAGACAGAGGAACTGTCTTAATTAGATTAAAACACCAGTTCTGACACACAACAGGCAGCCAATACCAAGATGTGATAAATTCACACATCTTCAATGATAATTATCCTAATATTTGCATAAGCAGCACCCTCGGTTAGCCCCTTGTTATTTAATGTAAGATTGCATTCTGTCAATTAAATTGGTCATTGTTTGGATTTGATCAATTTTGGTTCCTTTTGATTCTTAAGGCAGCATCGTCACCAGAATTTGGTCTGGATGAAAAAGTCTGAATTTTTCACTGTTTTAATTCCCCCACTATTTACCCTTGTTTCAACGTTACTAAAATGATCACATGGTTGAATCCAAACATTTATAAATATAA